TACGTTATACTATATAATAATAATAACAGCAACAATCATACAACTATTTTTGTAGAAAAAAAGTTGTGGAAAAATAAATGAGGCCAAATTAAAAAGAAAAAAAAAAACCGCTGTACATGTATAGGCCAAACCAAAAACCCTCACCGATGAACCAGGGTGGCAATCAAAGTAATAATCAGATTATCTGGGATGTTTCAATAGGAAGTGATCCAAACTTTTACAATTTCCCTTTGAACCTCTAGAGGGCTTCTTGCTCTGGCTCCCTGCTGTGGCAGGTACCCACCAGCCAAGTAGCTCTGCTAATGTTTCCACCTGTGTCTGAAGGAAACATGTGTGGGTTTTCTCTGGGTGTACATCTGTTGCAGGGTATATATATCAAGTAATGTGAGCATGCTTGTGTGTGTACACATCCCTGTGTGTGCAAGAGTGTGTTTGTATACACGGGTGGTTTTTCTCTTTGTGGTTGGTTGTGGTTGCATATTGCAAAGAGGGGTGTGTGTGTGTGTGTGTGTGTGTGTGTGTGTGTGTGTGTGTGTTAGGGGAGTTATAATTGTGGGTTTATGGGCCATTGCACGTGTGTGTGTGTGCGTGTGTGTGTGTGTGTGTGTGTGTTAGGGGAGTTATAATTGTGGGTTTATGGGCCATTGCACATGTGTGTGTGTGTGGTGTGTGTGTATCTGTGTATATGAGCAATTCTGAGCCCTCTCATACCTAACACTCTCTTGTATGTAACACGTATTTTGTAACACCCCTTTACTATATGGACATGAAGTTCTTAGATAATATAGTCTTTGCACATATAATTTCAAAAGAAAATCCATATAGTATTTTATGCAATATGCATATTGTATTAACTAATACAAATAAATAAGTAAAAGGGAAGTAATTTATAAGAAAATAATTTGTATTTCAATATGTAAATGTTTGGGCATGGCACTCCGCAGGAAATTCAATAAGGTAGTTAGAGGCTTGTAATGTCTTGTGAGTAAACATGGGTTTGGGAGGGGAAAACTCAGAGGCTGCCCCATGCCCAAAGTGCAGGAAAATGACAGGCAAAGGCCTAGGGGTGAGATTTTCTGAAATAGTGAACAACTCAAAGAAAGTGCTCCCCAAAACAAAGTGCAGTCACCTCTGGATTTACTTGACAGCTATATTCCTGGAGAATTTAGGGTATATTAAATTAGGGGGATTTTGTATTTATATGTGAAATACAGTTAGATTCAAGGTTCAGCTCATTACAAGTATAAAGTCTAGGGGATTCAGGATGTATGCTGGCTGTGTGGGACTGCCCCATAGATCACTGGATGGCCAGCATCCTTGTCTGGACCCCTAAATGTTGGAAGGACATCCTACACGTCAGCATTGTGGCCACCAAAAATGCTCTTACAAATTTCCAAAATGTCCCCTAGGGGGCAGTAATGCCTTTGTTGAAGACGGAGCACTGGTGTTTAGACAGGGGTATTCAGTGCCTGTGGGAAGGAGGCAGCATCAGATGTACTGTGTGCGAGTATGGGAGGGGCAAGGTCCGTATGTGTGAGCTGGTTGCTGTCTGTAGGTCTCCATAGCAGTAGGCTATGTGTCCGTGTGAGCGTGTGTGTAGGTGTCTGCGTAACTTTCTGAGGGTGTCTGGGCACCAGCAGGTGCGAATGTGTTTGTGTGCATGCACTGTTTTTAGCCCAGGATGGGTCCAGGCTGTGGCTGCCAGTCTGCTCAGAAGAAACCTCTCCTCACCTGTAGAATCGCCCCAGCTTTCTAGGCAACACTAGGGTTTTGTTTGTTTGCTGCTATTGTTTTGTGTTGTTTCATTTTAGCGTTTGTTTTTGTTTTCACTGAGACTCTGGACTACAAAGTATCCACCTTCTCAATCTTAGTGTGTTTCTCTGTGTCTCCCTTTCTCTATCTCCATCTTTGTTTCTGCTTCTATCTCTATCTCTGTCTCTGTCTCAACCCCTGTCTCTATGTCTCTATATTGTTCTCTCTCTTTCCTGGCATCTCTCTCTTATCTCTCTGTCTCTCTTTCTCTCTCCCTCCTTCCCTATCTCCTTTTGTCTCTCTCATTTTTCTTTCTCTCCCTCCTTCTCACTCTCTCTTTCATTCTCTATTTTCCTGCCTCTTTTTCTCTTTTCTGTCTCTTGTACTGTCTCTGTTTCTGTGTGTGTCTTTGTGTCTTTTTTCTCACTCTTCTTCCCCTTTCTGTCTCTATTTCTATCTCTTCCTGTTTGTGTGTAAGGCTCGCTCCCCTTTCTCTGTTTATTTCTCCCCTTCTCCCTCATATGTCTCTGTCCCTCTCTCACACACACAAACCTCTCTCCTCTGTCACTTTCTGTGTGTCTCTCTTCTACATTCAATCTCTTTCTGTCTTTAATGCTTTCCCCCTGCTTCCCCTCAAGGCTAAGGAGTGTGTGTGTGTATGTTTGTGCACATTTACACACACTCAGTTGTCAGCTAGTCCACAGTTCTGTGGGAGCTATCAGGCTTTGAGCAGCTGAGAGGGGGTCCACCAAATCCATTTCTCCCAAGCCCCTGCCGTGGCACCTTCTCATGGCCTATTGGCACCATGTCTGAGACTTTGGGGTGTCATCAAAAAAGCTTGGCCCAAGGTGGCTGTGGCAGGCCAGGTTGGAGTGAGCTGGGAAACAGTACAGAGGGGTGACTTTTTTCCCGGGAGGGGAGGGTAGAGAGGTTAGAGAGGTTCCATTCAGCCCCGTAGCCCCCAACCTCCAGCCCATCCCAGCCCCAACAGTAGTTCTGAGCTTCCTCAGCTTCTTCCCAGGTTGCCTTGCTACCTTCCCTCTGGCACCTGCCATATTACCTTATAACACTCCCTCTCCCCCTGCCTCCAGCTCGCACACACCAGGAGTCCCCCTGTTCCCCCCCCTCCCCCCCACCCCCGCGCAAGCTTTGCCCGTGCCCTCCCACCCCTGTATTGGCCAAAGTGCTCTTTCAGCTTATCCTACCTGGGTGCCTTCAGGCAGCCGTCCTTGAGCCACCAGCCCATTTAGTCCCTCAGCCAATTAACTGATTTGAAAGCCTTTAACTGAGGGTCTACCATGTGCTATGTACTGCTCTTCTGGAGAAGAGCATGTGAATCTCTAATCCCTGCCCTTGTGGAGCTTTTCTTCTAACAGGGAGAGGTGGATAATAAACCGAATTTTGAAAGTAAGTTATATAGTGCGCTAGAAGAGATAAATTCTAGAAAGAAAAATAAAGCAGGGCAAGGGGCATGGAGTGCTATCATTTCTCACCTGAATTACTGCAGGAGCCTCCTGTGTACTCTCCCCAGTTCCACCTTTGCCCCACATGGTGTGTGCTCCTCCCAGCAGCACGGGGGATGCTGTGCAATCCTGAGTCATCACATCTTGCTTTTGTTCCCATGGCTCCCATATCACTCAGAGTAAAAGTCAAGGTCCTCACAATGGCCTACGTGATCTGGCCTCACCACTTTTCTGACTTCACCTCCTACTACTTTCTGATTGCTCACTCTGTTCCAAGCACAGTGGCCTCCTTACTCTTCCCCAAATATACCACATGTAATCCCACCTCAGGGCCTTTGCACTGGCTGTTCCCTCTGCCTGGACTTCTCTTCCATCCAATACTCACATGGCTCACTCTCTTGCCTATTTTAAGTCTTTGCTTAGATGACACCTCCGTGAAGCCTTTGCTCTCCATTTCATCCAAAAGCATACCTCCCCCACCCCTAGCACTTCCTATCCCCTTTCCCTCCTTTACTTTTCTTTTAAGGAACTTACCATCATCTGACCTACTATACTTCACTTATGTATCTTCTTTATTATCTAGAATATCAGCTTCATAAGGGCAGGGACGCTTGTCCATCTGACTCACAGCTGTACTCCCAGTGCCTGTCATACAATAGATGCTCAATAAATCGTTTTTCAATGAATGAAAGCACAAAAGCATACCCACATCTTTAGATTCACAATACTCCCCACCTGACTTAAAATAAAAACCTAAGTCCTTGTCATGGCCCACAGCCCTATATAATCTGGCCCCAAACACCTCAGACACCTCTGTGATCTCACTTTCTACCACTGTCTCCCTTGCCTGCCCTGTTCCAACCACACTGGTCTTCCCACTCTTCCTTGATCATGCTAACCACATTCCTGATCATGAATATATAAAAAAAGCCTATTTAATGAGTGGCTACCAACATCCACAAAAAGTCATGAAATAGAGTAGAACTAATGGGGTATGTGACATATAGGATCAGTACCATTTTCTGAAACTTTTGGTTCAGCTCTGTGTGCACACATGTGTGTGTACCAGGTTGTGATATAAAATGTATGTCTTACTATGGGTAGAGGTCAAAAATAGTTTGAGGAACATAACCTTAGGGCCTTGCAAAGGGGGAGGAGAGCTGCACCAACACCCCCGCCCCACAGAACCACCAATGGAGGAAACAGGTAACCGAGGACAAGCCAGAGAGGTGAAGCACCCCCCGCCCAGCAAGGAAGGGGTAGGAGCAGCAGTGGGCCAGGGCCAGAACCTGACACCAGCCAGGGAGTAAGTGTGGAGGCCATGTAGACCCACTAACACTGCCCTTTCTGTTTCTTCCTCACCTCTCCTTTCCACCTGTTTCTCACTGTCTCTTTTTCTTGTGTTTCTCTCTCCCTCCCTCTCTCTCTCTCTCTCTCTCCATTTCTATCTCTATCTCTCCTTTCCCTCTTTCCCTGTCTCTCTGGTTGTTTCTTCTTATGTCTTCTCACTCTCACCCTCCCATTGCTGTCTCAATTTGCATCTATTTATGTCTTTGTCACCATTTTCTCTTTGTTCTATCCTTTCTCGCTCTGTCTCTGTGCCTCTGTGTTTTTCTCTCTGTCTCTCTCCTGCCCTCATCTCTCTATCTCTGTCTGTCTGTCTCTTCCCCATTATCCCTATTTGCAGGTGCAGCCCAGCAGGACAACTGATGGAGTCCCCCAGGGCCCATCAAATACCGGACTGGCTGATCCTGTAAGGCTGGGAGCAGCCCCTGCCCCTTCAGTATGGCCAACACTACTGGAGAGCCCCAAGAGGTGAGCGGCGCACTATCCCCACCATCAGCATCAGCTTATGTGAAGCTGGTGCTGTTGGGACTGATCATGTGCGTAAGCCTGGCGGGCAATGCCATCTTGTCCCTGCTGGTGCTCAAGGAGCGTGCCCTGCACAAGGCTCCTTATTACTTTCTGCTGGACCTGTGCCTGGCTGACGGCATACGCTCTGCCGTCTGCTTCCCCTTTGTGCTGGCTTCTGTGCGCCACGGCTCCTCATGGACCTTCAGTGCTCTCAGCTGCAAGATTGTGGCCTTTATGGCAGTGCTCTTTTGCTTCCATGCGGCCTTCATGCTGTTCTGCATCAGCGTCACCCGCTACATGGCCATCGCCCACCACCGCTTCTACGCCAAGCGCATGACACTCTGGACATGCGCAGCTGTCATCTGCATGGCCTGGACCCTGTCTGTGGCCATGGCCTTCCCACCTGTCTTTGATGTGGGCACCTACAAGTTTATCCGTGAGGAGGACCAGTGCATCTTTGAGCATCGCTACTTCAAGGCCAATGACACGCTGGGCTTCATGCTTATGTTGGCTGTGCTCATGGCAGCCACACATGCTGTCTATGGCAAGCTGCTCCTCTTCGAGTATCGTCACCGCAAGATGAAGCCAGTGCAGATGGTGCCAGCCATTAGCCAGAACTGGACATTCCACGGTCCTGGGGCCACCGGCCAGGCTGCTGCCAACTGGATCGCTGGGTTTGGCCGTGGGCCCATGCCACCAACCCTGCTGGGTATCAGGCAGAATGGGCACGCAGCCAGCCGGCGGCTGCTGGGCATGGACGAGGTCAAGGGTGAAAAGCAGCTGGGCCGTATGTTCTACGCGATCACACTGCTCTTCTTGCTCCTCTGGTCACCCTACATCGTGGCCTGCTACTGGCGAGTGTTTGTGAAAGCCTGTGCCGTGCCCCACCGTTACCTGGCCACCGCTGTTTGGATGAGCTTCGCCCAGGCTGCCGTCAACCCGATAGTCTGCTTCTTGCTCAACAAGGACCTCAAGAAGTGCCTGAGGACTCACGCCCCCTGCTGGGGCACAGGAGGTGCCCCGGCTCCCAGAGAACCCTACTGTGTCATGTGAAGCAGGCGGGTAGGCAGACAGGCAGGGAGGTCATGGCTACCTTGCTGGAGCCAACAATAAGGGAAGGGTGGGCCTCCTACAGGAGCCTTTCTTTCTGAGCTCCAGCCCCAGCCCCTGGAACCACCCGGAATCTAGGCACCTTTGCCAACACCTCCCCAGGGTTGGAGACCGGGGTGGGGGACTGGGAAAGAGGTGTTTCTAATTCTGTGGGGCCTGTCTCTGCTGCCTCATTCTCCACTTCTACAATCTCTGTCATTTCCTCTCTCTCTCTCTCTCTCTCTCTCTCTCCTCTCTTTCCTCTCTCTTTTCCTCTCTCTCTCAGAAGTGACAATTCAGAAAAAGAAAGTAAGACTGAAAATGCAGGTTTTTCTACTAACAGCTGAGGAGATAGGCTTTCTTGCTTTAATGTCTCTCCTTCTGACATTGTCCAGAAGGGGGAAATTTGTCCTGTAAAATAGACTTCCAGAGCTCTTATTGCCCCCTCTGCTCCCATGCACCCTCTCCTTCCAAGTCCTTTAGCAAGACCTGGATTTTAGGGAGAAATTCATCTGCTGACAACAGGGATCAAAGGGGGTTCTGGGTCCCCAGGGAGCGGGGATGTTTAATGGCTGCGTTGTGTGCAATTGTTGTTTTAAGCTAACCCTGGTCCCAAGCCTGGTTTCCTCTCCCTCCCCACCATGTCCAGACCTCCTGAGTGTTTCTTGAGCATCTGTTCAAGAAGCCAGGAGGGGAGGGAGAAGGACCCTTGGAATGGGCTCAGGCTAGGTGAAGAATGGGATGTGAGCTGCACGCCTCGAGTTGAAGAGATCTGAGCTTGGCTGCATTCTTTCGAGCTGCCTCCTGGATCCCCAGCCCCCAACTCTTCTTCCTGAGGATGGAAATCCACTCCAGCTCCACTAGGGCTGATGTGGGTGCCCTGGGTAGGAGCATTCCCCCAGGGAAGTGTAGGGAGAAAGCCAAACTCCCCAGAGTAACTGGAAACGAGCACCTGGGGTCAGAGCCGAACTCAACCCCAGAATTGTCTCCTGGGTTCATACTATTATCCTGAAGATGAAAAGTTGGGGGTGGCCTTGGTATAATGCATAATGGTATAAGCTCCAAGGCATTGTGGACTTGAGTCCATTCCTATCTGACCTCTTTTTGTCCCCTTGAAGCCTCAGGGGCCTTGCCCCTCTTGGTAGCCCTTGGCCTTCTGGGCCCTCAGCCCCCAGATTCCTTCCCCTGAACAGCCCTTCTCCCCTTTTTTCCTTCCACCCAAAGTGGAGCAGACTACAGCCAGATTCTTCAGGTGGGAGAGCCCAAGCCTCCCTCCCAGGGCAGAGTCCACCCTGGACTCACATCATGGCCAGTTCTTATGGAACTGGTGAGCCAAGCTGGCATTCCTTTGCCTGGTCTTGCCCAGATTCTTTGTCCCCCTCTCATTTCCTGGGGGAGGGAGAGATCTGTATTTATCCACACCCTTTTCCCTTTCTGATAGAAGCCCTTGTCCTAAGCTCCCTCCCTACCCCCAAGACAGTCCCAGCCCTGGGGAAGCCTTGATCCAAGAGGAATGGGGAGGGCACTCTAGGCAGGAGAGACATTAATGAGCCTGGCTGTGGAGCAGCTCTGGAAAGGCAGGCCAGAGTGGCTGAGTGGGTGTGGGGGTGGGTACCTGTTCTCTCAGTGATAGTGATGGGGGTGCCTTTCCCAGGGAGTGGGGTGGGGGGACCACAGGGGTGGGAGTAGATAGGGTATATTCTGGAAGGTTTTCCTCCATTTCTTTTTTCTAACTGCCTGGATTCACCATTGGATTTTGTAAATGGAAAACTGAAAAGAACAATGCTATATTGGATGTTTTCTCTTTCTGACTCTGTGTGTGTGTGTGTGTGTGTGTGTGTGTGTGTGTGTGTGTGTGTCCTGTCTGCATGACCACATGTGGGGAGGTATGGTCAAGTGAGACTGTGTGTGACTCTGTGTGGGGAGGCAGCACTGCCTGGTGCACACATGTGAGCAAATGCCTGTATGTGGAGACATATGGCACAAACACACACACGTACACATATGCACCTAACTGAAAGGAGACAAACTAGAGTATGTCCTTGCAGCAGGAGGTTGAGTGGTCAGAGAATAGAATTTTAAAACTGTACATATGTATGCAGCAAGAGGGTAGACTCCCATTTCATAAATCTTCCTCCTTTGGCCCAGGCGTGAACATGGAGCAGGGGCAGGATACTTGAGAACTCCATCTCTTCCCAAAGCCTGGAACCCCCAGGTACCATTCCAACTCCATGGTCAGTCTCCTCTCAAAAACACAAATGAAGTGTTCCTGAAAGTGGACTGCAATGGAAAATAGGGACTGGGAATTGGGGATTAAACTTGAGGGTGAACTAATGGGGTTAGAAAATGCTCCCTACAAAGTAATGGCTTCTGGAGGGACTGCTCAGTCTGGGATGGGAGCCCTTCTGAAGAGTCCACTGTATACAGCTGGGACTTTGGTAACCTTTGACTAAATTCAGAGGAGGGATGTTAGGGGTGAATAAAGAAAGCCAAGCCTGGGAGTCTACCCAGCTAGCCTGCTACCTGGGCACTCAAATACTTTATTTACTTATTCTCTCAGGTGCACAGAATTGAGTTGACCATACTCCTCAGTTCTTGGCACACTATATCATTGTTGGTCCATGTGAGTCCCTTTTATTCTTTTGTTTTGTTTCATCCCTTTCATCACTCATCCCTGATCCAATCCCCCCTCCCACATAGACACCCACTCTTGTGTATTTAATGTATGTCCTTCCAATTCACCGTTCATGTATTTGTTTACATATATGTGTATCTGTGAAAAATATATGGTATTGTTATATGTTTTAATTTACATAAACAGTATTGTACTTTAAATCTTGTTCTGTTTCTCTTTTCACTCAGCATTCTGTTTTATAAAGATCCAGCCTTGTTGCTGTATGTAGATCTAATTCATTCTAGTGGTCCATCTTCTACATGTATCACATTTTTCTTATCCATTCCCCTGGTGATGGGTCTCCAGGTTGCCTCCAATTTTCCGCTACGACAGAAAGGCTGCAATGGGCAGTTTCCTACAATTCTTAAGGATCTCTAATTTAGAGGAGAGGAAACTGAAGCTCAGAGAAAGGCAGTGATTTGGTTAGTGTTACAAAATGAAGAGCAGGCCCCTGATGCCAATCCCAGACCAAAGCCAGAACCTACCACCCTACCTCACTAAAGACCATCCATCTGGTCCCCAAAGATCTAAAATACAATTTTAAAAAAGCATACACTGGGTAAAGGGAGAGGAAAGGATTGGGAGGAGGGCAAGTATTGAGCAGACGAAAAGATAGAAAATCCTAGAAAAATCTAGCAGATGAACGGAATCACAATCATGTTAATGACGCAGAGAAAGTTACTTCTTGTGTGTGATTATTATTTCTAGAGTCATTTTGCAGAGATGGAAAACGCCACGTCAAAATCTAGCTCGAAACCAAAGGTCCTAGGTTTCGAAATTCCAGACCCCTTTAGGGCAACCCTAGCCCCCCGGAGGGGCCATATCAGAGTTCGCCACGGGGGCAAACGCTGGGCATGGGGGAAGGAGCAGATTTAAGAAGTGCGTAGTTGCTGAGGGGAGGGCCGCTAAGAGGGAAAACGATAGCGAGGCTCTTCCAATTTTATCTGAGCACATCCTGCTCGGTGCCTGCGTTTGTTTTTTGTTTTGTTTTTTTGGTCTTCAGAACCACTGGTACTTTTCCCATTGGATAAAATGCTGGAGGGGTGAGGGAGAGGGGTTTCTTCCCCCTTAGCTTCCCTTGCAGCCAATCGCCCTGCAGTTTCCCTCTCGTCGCTGGCGGAGTCAGCCCGGTGATTGGCGGGCCCGGAGGGGAGCCAATCGGAAAGAGATGAGGTGTGGTGTTGGCAAGCGGATTGCGTGAGAGTGGGCAGAGGTCGAGGGAGAGCGAGCACCGCGGCCGCGGCTGGCAGCCACTGGAGAGGACGAATGGGCCTCTGACGTCACGGAGAGGGCGGGGCCTTGACGCTTGGCGCGGAGGGAGTAGGGTTGGCGCTGTGGGAGGGAACGCCAGAGCGAGGCTGTGGGGAGAGCTGGTCGCGTGAGGTGCAGTGGCTCTGCTTCAGGTGTGACAGGCAGCAGCGGTTTGGCCGAGAGCGAAGGGGCGAGTGCGATCCCCTGAGCTGTGAGCGCGGTCGCCATGGACCGCCAGGATGAGGGGCCTCCGGCCAAGGCCCGCCGCCTGAGCAGCTCCGAGCCGGCTCAGCACGACCAGCTGCCACCGCCTCCGCCGCCTCCGCCTCCCCCGCCACTCCTGCCTCCCCCGCCGCTCCTGCGACTGCCCTTGCCTCCACCCGAGCAGCGCCCGAGGCTCCAGGAGGAAACCGAGGCGGCACAGGTGCTGGCTGACATGAGGGGGGTGGGGCTGGGCCCCGCTCTGCCTCCGCCGCCGCCCTATGTCATTCTGGAGGAGGGGGGGATCCGCGCGTACTTCACCCTGGGTTCTGGGGGTCCCGGCTGGGAGCCTGAGATGGAGTCAGGGTATGGGGAGGCGCCCCCTCCCACGGAGAGCCTAGAAACATACTCTCCTTCGGAGGCTTCTGGGGGAAGTGTGGAGATTGACTTTCAGGTTGTGGAGCCCGGCAGTTTTGCTGGAGAGAATGTCCTAGAAACCTGTAGCGCAGGGCACTGGGCGTACCAGAGGTTAACCGGTCCAGGGGGGAAGGAAGAGGCTATCATCCTAGTGGAAGATGACGATGAGGATGAAAAGGAAAGCGTGAGGAAGCGGAGGAGGAGGAGGAAGAGGAAGCAGAGGAAGGTGAAGAAGGAAAGCAAGAAGAATGCCGAGAAGATAGAGTGCATCCTGCAGGCACTGGAAAACATTCAACTGGACCTGGAGGCGGTGAACATAAAGGCAGGCAAGGCCTTCCTCCGTCTGAAGCGCAAATTCATCCAGATGCGAAGACCCTTCCTGGAGCGCAGGGACCTCATCATCCAGCATATCCCAGGCTTCTGGGTCAAAGCAGTATCCTTGTCATCTAAATTCATGGGCCAGGAGCTCATGATAAAAAAGGGGGGGAAGGGGGAGGAACAGAAAGGGTGAATTTGTGTGTGGGTGGATCCCTATTGGAAAAATGCCTAGGTTTGGTGGAGGAGGAATGGAAGGAGAGGGGCAAAACATCAGAGAAGCTGGACTACAGATGATGAAGGGGGGAGAGAGGCACACAGCATAAAAACTGGACCACAGATGGGAAAGAGAAAAGGGGAGGAGCATAATAAAAATCAATAGTGAAATGGGGAGGATGGTAGAGGGGCACACAGAAAAATTGGACCATAGATGGTGAAAGGAGGAGGGGAGGGACACACAGAAGATAAAGTGGCTCAGAGATGGTGAAGAGGGAGAGGAAAGGCACAGAGCAGAGAAATTGCCCAGAAAGGATGCCTAAGTCACAGGTGGCTCTTCAAGTCTAGGTCTCTGCTGAGATACTAGGGAGACCCCAATCCTTGCTAGAGAGAAGGGGGCTAGAAAGGAGCTGGAACCCCTAAAAGGTCAGAAGAAGGAGTACCTAGAAGTGGAGATCAAGGAGTTAAGTGAAGGAAAGAAGAGTAAGAAGAATCTTCTTCACTATTGGTGAAAATCTTATCTCTGGGGTACATATATACAACATGTTAGGAACACATGGGTTTAACTTCATAATGGAATTACATGGATAGAGACCCTTGACACTCTCATACAAAGTATCACATGATCCCAGTCTGTCAGCACTCAGGCACACAGTATTATGTGGCCGCAGGTCCTCAGCATGCAGACGTGTAGCATCATGTGACTTACTGGTTTTCAGCATCCAGACACATTATCACATGGATACAAACCTTCAGACTCAGATACCCAATATCATGTGGACACAGACCTGTAACACTCAAATAAGCAACATCATGACTACAGGCCCTCAACAACCAGATATAACATCACTTGGGCCTGGGGCTTCAGCCCCCAGACACACAATGTCTTGTGAATACAAATTCACAGCACCCAAGGATACAACATCACACAGACATAGGACCCTTAGCACCCAGACACACAGCAAATATGGACCATGGCAAGGCAACCTAATAACAGATGTCTGACATTGCATAAACATAGGTTCTCACCACATAGTATCATAGGAAGAAAAGTATGGGTCATGTCCCATGACCCACTTGCTCCCCACACATCACATGAACACAGAAGGAATTCTGCTCCAGCTTCTCTTTTGCTCTGCCCTGCCTGGCCTTCCCTCCCTCCTTCTCTCATTGAACAGTCACTCCTTGACCTAAACTGCTCCCTCCATCAGTTCCTCAACCACCCCAAAATTTCAATCTTGATCAACCGACGTGATGAAGACATTTTCCGCTACTTGACCAATCTGCAGGTCAGACCAAAGACATGTTTTTTACTAGGATCGGGCAAGGAATCTGGTCCTTGGAGGTGAGGGGGTTTGGGTGGGAAGGGCCTTGGTGTGGTGGGGATTTCAACATTACCTCTAACCTGAGCAGGTACAGGATCTCAGACATATCTCCATGGGCTATAAGATGAAGCTGTATTTCCAGACAAACCCCTATTTCACAAACATGGTGATTGTCAAGGAGTTCCAGCGCAGCCGCTCTGGTAAGAGGTGGTCCTAGGGAAAACCGTCACTCCTCACTCCCATCTGTCTTTGTCCAGTGCCCTCTCTACAGCCTCCTTTCCTCTCAGGCCGGCTGGTGTCCCACTCAACTCCAATCCGCTGGCACCGGGGCCAGGAGCCCCAGGCCCGCAGGCACAGGAACCAGGACACCAGCCACAGCTTCTTCAGCTGGTTCTCAAACCACAGCCTCCCAGAGGCTGACAGGATTGCTGAGGTGGGGCCCCTCCTGGCATTGCCAGAGAAAGCCTTGCTAGGCTTGCTTCTGGATGCTTGGGGAATTGGGAGTAGGCTCTGGGGCTTTTACCCATAACTCTGTTCCCCTTCCCCCCTCATTTCTTTCAACAGATTATCAAAAATGACCTGTGGGTCAACCCTCTGCGCTACTACATGATGGGAGAAGGAGGCTACAGGGCAAACAGAAAGAAGCAAGAAAAGGAAGAAAGGTGATGGGGGGGGAATTGGTGGCTGAGAGGTGGTTTGTTAGGGACAAAGATTAGGCAAGTGTTACCCAGAATTTATAGGGCCAAAGGGACCTTTGAGAGAATTCAGTATGTTTTACAAGTGGAGAATGATACGCATAAGTGGGGTGTGATTGGCCTGAGGTCGTGCAGGCAGGAGCAGAAATGGGACTCTCCCCACCCTAACCTCATCCCTTGAATTCCTTGTAACCTACTGCCTCCTCAGTTACTTAGCACCTTTTAGTGTCTGCCCTGCCTCCCACCAATCCTATACTCAACTCCAGGCTTCCCCACAGTAAAAACAGGGACAAGTGTGAGGTGGTGATTATGGAAGACTCTGACGACTATCACATAATGGAAGACATTATCAGCGAGACTTCAGACAGTGATGACATCACCGACAATGAGACCATTCATGACATCAAGATCTCTGACTTCATGGAGACCACCGACTGCTTTGAGACCACTGACAATGAGATAACCGACATTAGTGAGAGCCTCTGTGACAGTGAGAGCCCTGACCACAATGAGAGCCCTGACAGTGAGACCACTGACAACAATGAGAGCCCCGATGACCACGAGACCACTGATAATAATGAGAGCTCTGATGACAACGAGACCACTGACAACAACGAGAGTGCCGATGACAACAGTGAGAACCCTGACGACGAGAACCCTGACGACAACAGTGAGAACCCTGAAGACAACACTGATGACAACGAAGAGAACCCTGATGACAATGAAGAAAATACTGATGACAACGATGAGAATCCTGATGGTGATGAGAACCCTAATAGTGCCGAGAATCCCAAAGGTGGCAACCATGGCAGCAGCGGTGACAACCAGGACAGCAGTGACAGTGACAACGAAGGAGACAACGAGGGCAGTGATGATGAAGATAATGATGGCAATGAAGGTGACAATGAAGGCAGTGATGATGATGGCAATGAAGGTGACAATGAAGGCAGTGATGATGACGACAGAGACATCGAAGATTACAGGAATGATAGTGATGACCCTGACAAGGATCAGGATAACAGCAACAACCAGGATGACTCTGAGGCCGAAGTGGAGAACATCTCTGAAGAAGGATCCTCAGTGGAGGAAGAAGAAGATGAGGGCAGTGAGGAAGGTGAGCCTAGAGCCCCCCTCTTTTCTCTTTCTCTTCCCAGAAAAAAGCTGGCCAGGGTCAGGATATCAAGGCATGAGTACAGTCTGTTCTTGTGGAGAAAAGAAAAAGCATTTTATGCAACTTTTTAAACAAAGCAAGGCCAGGGAACCTTTAACTTAACAATTGTAAGAGAACCAAAGAAACAAATTTCAGTTCTAGCTGGTGGGTAGATAAGTTGTAACAGAGCAATAGACAAATAAGGAATGAAGAGATAGAAGGTGGGTAGAAAATTGAGAAGGACAAGTTCACACACAGAAAGGGGGAAACTGGCAAACATATTACAATTCAGCACACTCTGTACCCAGCCCTGGCCTTCAGGGAACTCCCAGGCTTGTTTGTCTTCTGAGGATCCTTCACCAGCCCTGAAAGCTGTTTCTCACAAAAAGGTCCAGTAGTCAGGTATGTTGGGGACAATACTGCATACGTTAATATTTGCAGGTAGAGTGACAGGTACATTAGCCCCTTAAAGGCTCTGAAAAGTCCTGCTGTAAGAAACCTATTTAAACATTGTGGAACCCAGCATTTCCCAAACTTCTTAACCGCAGAAGCCACTGTTTACTGCTCACCAAAACATGTATTTTAGGAAATGCTGAGAAAGGTTTGCACGTGGGGGGTTGAGGGAGAGGGCAGTATTTACGGTGACTCCCAGGTTTGGTCTGGCCTGGATGACTGGCAAACGGAGGTACCATTTCTTAGGATTGGGAACGACATGGTGGCAGGATTGATGAAATGCAGAGGGGAACATGGAGTTGGAAAGGCCTGTTGGACATAAGGTACAGGTAGCCCAGGCAGGTGGTTGCTTATGTATCTGGGAAGTCAGAAGTTATAAATAAAAGGGGGTAACAAGCCAGAACAGAATCCTAGCCCTGATTCTGGCCAGTTAACATTAATGAAGTGTTTAGTATGTGCCAGGCACTATCGTAAGGGATTTACTTACTCATTTAATCCTCACAGCAGCTCTTATGAGCTAGGTACTGTTATCACCATTTTATAGATTAGGAAACTGAGGCTCTGAGAGGGTAGAATTAGGAAGAGAACTGGGCATGGAGGGGATTGTGGGCAGTGTCCAGGTCAGGTATAATGAGGACTGGATTTGGCACTGAATAGGTCATCTGTGACCTTGCCAAGAGTAGTTTCAATGGATTGGTGTGAGCAGAGCCACATCAATGGGGTAGGAGGAGGGAATGAGCAAGGGGCAAGGCAGTAGAATCAAACCTTGGCTAAGAAGGGGATGGCAGAGGACAGGCAAGGGAGATGTTTGAGCCAGGCTGTGGGCAGGCAGACCTTGGAGAGGCAGGCCCCTGGGGGAGGTAGAAGGAGCTGGAAGACCAACCACTCCTGGGGGTTTTGGCCATGGGGTCTCTGGCAAATTTCCATTGAGGGCAGGGGCAAGGAAGGAGGCATTGAATGTAAATTCAATCTAGACATATATTCAGTTAGAATAGGGAAACTGAAGGAGTTGCCACTGGATGGCATCTTCTTTCAGAGAAGGAGACGAAGAGCTATCTGCCCAGCCCTAGGGTGGGAGTGGGGGTAGGGAATTGGACTAAAGAAGACAGAGTGTGGCCTGTTTGGATCAGACTGGGGAAAAGAAGAGGGGGAGCTGCCTGGGAAGAACAGAAGGTTTATTCAGCCAAGGTTAGAGCTCAGAAGGCACATACATTGACACATTACATGGGGAGAAAAAGCTACTTTCAGACATGGTATCAATTTTGATAAGCCAGAGGCAGGGCTCCCACCCCTCCTTCCCTCTGGGCTTGCTTGAGATAACACACACACACACACACACACACACACACACACACACACACACACACACACACACACACACACACACACACACACACTTGCTTTTTCCAAGCAGAGGTGCTTGGGGAGTGGTTCCAGGCCCCCAAAGCCCTGGCTATAGGCTCTGTTCACTGTTAAGTGCTATCCTCCCGCTTCCAGAACTGAGAAGATAAATTTCTATTGTTTAAACAAACAAACAAAAGAGTGACATCTACCTGCTCATCTAACCACCCTCTTTTTTCCCCTCCTTGCCCCTTGTCTCTCTTCCCCTGTACAGACAGCGAGCAAGAAGGTGAGGAGAGTGACGATGAGGAATTAAGCGAGGAGGAGGAGGAGGAAGAAGGGATCGAAGATGACTTCGAAGGAGGGGAAGACTCTGAAGACTCTGACATGGAGGAGGTGCTTCAGGTCCAAAATGTTTGGGCCAACCCGGGGAAGAGGGGCAAAACTGGATAAACATTTTACCCTTGCAGGGGTTGCCTCTCTGTATCCCTCTCCCCCTGCCCCATTTGCCCTCCCCCTCAGCTAGGGCCGCGCGGCCCCATATTGCACTTCTGGGGGGTGACCGACTTCGTACACGGGTTTAAAGTTTATTTTTATGGTTTAGTAATTGCAGAGTTCTTATTTTGGGGGGGGAGGGAAGGGGGGATTTCCCCCTTCCTTTTGGCCCTCCTCCCCTGCAAGCTTCTGTGTGCTGCTAAACGTATTTATTGTGATGCCTTGGTCAGGGCCCCTCTATCCTCCTCCTCGTGCTGTGTGGAGTGGACACCCTTGATCCCGAAGCGGGGAGGGCCGCTGTGGCCTTGGGGGGCTTTACTGCCACCCTGTTCTCCCAAGCCTCTCTTTGCCTCCGTCCCTCGCCCCCTCCCCACGCTGTGCCCGCTAGCTCGCCTTGGTGTCTATGCAAGGCCGCTTGTCATTGCGGTATTCCTGTTCCCCTCCCCCCCAGAAGCCCCTCGTTGTTCCTTGTGAACCTTGGTAATCCTAATAAAACTGAGCAAATTCAAAGTGCAGCTTCCAGTCTTTTGTCCTGCTTGGCGAGCCATCCCCAGGAGCCAGTCTCCATTCCCACAGGCCCTCAAAACGCCATCCGTTTCTCCGCACTGGCCTGCAAGATGGTGGTGGCGGTGGGAGGGGGGGGTGTTTGGTTTTCTGGGGGCGAGCTCTGCAGGACCGCAGAGGTGTTGCGTCAGCCAATGCGGACCATCTTGGCCAATGGCAGGGCGAGGCTGAAAAAGCCCCACCCCCCCACTCCCCCCCCCCCACCGGAGGCTGCAGTGGACCAGCCAGGTAGCAAATAACTTCCCACGCCGTCCGGTGTCACGCAGGCGCACAGAAACGCCTTGCGTCCTGGAATATCCGTTTGTTAGTGATTCATCTTTTTATTTATCATGCGTCAAACCTTTCCTCAGGCCTAGTGTGAGCTGGGCGTGGGGAGCCACTGGAATCCATTTTTTTCTCATTTGCATGTAGTTTTAAAAAAATGATAATCTGTCGAGACATTAGATCCTAATAATGCAGGGATGCTCTCTCATTTTAGGGAGAGGGAGCAGGGTCCCTGGAACTGGGCCTGGAAGAGAAGGCAAGACAAGATGGCTCGAGCCCAAGAGTGCATAGGGATAAGGAGAAAGCAAAGGGAGATTACTATGTATCTGTGTGATTGAGGGGGGTAGTGTCCGGAGTTGGACGTCTGAAAGGCAGACTATCTGGGAGACTTTGGAAAGGCTGAGTTTCAGATTTTGGATAACGGTAACTTTATTAAAGCGGACATCGTAAATACCTCCAGATTCTTTGTGCCTCATAATAATAACTTATACAAATATCCAGGTTGGTCTTCGGCAATATACCTCCCGAATTTTCCATGCAATGCCCATGTTTTAATGAATGGAAAGCTTCAGATACAGATTTGAGTTTTAGCGGATGCCCTCTGCTGGCTGCCAGGAGAATGGATTGGAAGGAGGGAGAGCAGTGAGGAAGTTAATGCTATTCTTCAGGTGAGAGTGACGTAATGGGCAGACATGGGAGGATTTTTAAATAAATTTTTTATTTTAGAAGTTTTAGATTTCGGGGCACCTGGCTGGTTCAGTCAGTAGAGCATGCAACTCTTGATCTCAGGGTTGTGAGTTCGAGCGCCACGTTTAGTGTAGAGATTACTTAGAAAAATAGAATCTTAAAACAGTTTTAGATTTATAGAATTATTGCAAAGATAATACAGAGAGTACCCATATACCCCGCATCCAGTTTCTCCCATTGTTAACATCTTACACTAGTCTGGTACGTCTGTCATAATTAATGAACCAATACCAATACATTAGAGTCCACACTTTATTCAGATTTCCTTAGTTTTTTTAAATATTTATTTTTGAGAGACAGAGCATGAGCAGGGGAGGAGCAGAGAGAGAGAGAGAGAGAGAGAGAGAGACAGAATCTGAAGCAGACTCCAGGCTCTGAACTGTTAGCACGGAGCCTGATGCGGGTCTTGAACCCACAAATTGAGATAATGACCTGAGCCGAAGTCAGACACTTAACCAACTGAGCCACCCAGGTGCCCCAGATTTCCTTAGTTTGTAATGTAAGTTTTCTGTTACAGGATGCCATCCCAAAGAACATATTACATTTATTTGTAATGTCTCCCTAGACTCCTCTTGGCTGTGACTGTTTCTCAGACTTTACTTGTTTTTGATGACCTGAAGTCATCAGCATTTGAGGAATACTGGTCAGGTATTTTGTAGAATGTCCCTCAATTGGGATTTGTCTGATGTTTTTTCTCATGATTAGATTGGGGTTATGGGTTTGGGGAAGGAAGACCACAGAAGGAAAATGACAGCCTCATCATATCAAGGGTATATGTTATCAATATGTCTTACATTGTTGATGTTAATTCTGATCGCCTGGCTGAGGTATGTCAGGTTTTTCCACTGTAAAGCTACTCGTCCCCTCCCCCCAGCCCCCTTTCTGTACCCTACATACTTTTTGGAAGGAAGCCACTAAGTGTAGTTTATGCTTAGGGAGTGGGGAGTTAAGCTCCATCTCCTTGAGGGGGAAATATCTACATAAATTAATTGAAATTCTTTGACATGAAAGACCTATCTATTCTATGAGAGCTTTTAAGATGATGGAATCAATGGACTTTGGATATGGGAAAAGAGGGGACTGAGAGGAGTCAGGGATGACTGCCGGGTTGTTGTGGGACCTTGGGCAAGGCCCCTTCCCTTCCTTGTCCCACCTCTGTGAAATAGTTGGAACACCAGATCTTGGACATACTCCATGATTCTGATAAATGTTTTGGGGAGAGCATTAAGGCTTTGTTGGCTCTGGTTCTGACCTGGGACTGCACTGTCAGAGGTGGGTAGAGGAGACTCTGGCCCAGAAAGGGTAACATCTTGCCTCAGGGCCAGAGCTGAGAGTGCAGGATCCCAAGTCAAAGGCATCTTGTGTAGAGGAAAAAGATACCACTGTGTAGTATCAGGGGCCAGTCCCAATTATCAGGTGGTGAATTAGGGGAGAAACATCAGGGGCAAAGGGCCTGGAGTAGGCCAGGAAGAGGCCAGTCTGAGAGACAGACAGCCTGGCCTGGGTATCCTTCCCTCAGTGTGCTCTGCCTCACAATGTGATTCCATCACCCTCGCTAGAGGGTCTTTTTCCCTTCTGCAAACTTAGATCAAGCATGCTGGGACATCAACACTTGGAGAAACAATCTGCCCAGGATCCCAAGATGGAGACCAGCCCTGAAGCAGACCTCTGAAGCCTGGCCCTCATCATGCTCTTCCCTGATTCCTTTCTGCTCTCCTAATCAAATCCCCAGCCCCTCATCCTGGCATTTGAGGCTCCTCTTCACCCACACTGTCATAGAAGGTCTCTGGCTTCAAGGACACTGTTAGAAGCCAATTCTGGGATTCTAATATAGTTGGCTAGGGTTCTCATGTTTTGGGTTAAGACATGGAAGTAGAGGATGTTCTTTGCCTAGAGTGACATCTTTTCCATGTCCTCACTCCTCAGTGTGTGGTGTGGCTTCAGGTCCTGCCCAGTTTGGGCCTCCAAAAGGGAGGGCTGTTCTTGAAGGTCTTTAAGGTCACATCCAACTCCAAAATATAGTCTTTGCTGAAGACCAGAGAAGACAGGAGCCATTTTCTGGGAGCCTAAACAGAAACCAGGAGGAGGACCAGATGGAAGATAAGGAGTCATGGACCCAGTGTGCCCCAGGGCCTGTTCCCATGCTAAAGCTATTTGTTTTTGTATCCTTCATAGCTTACCCCACTCCTCTGCAGCAGAAGGCCCTGTTCCTGGGGGTGAGGTTCCCAGGATCTCCTGGGACCAGACCTTTAAAGTTCCACCCACTTCTGTGAACAAAAGCAGATGGACAGGGACAAAAGTAGACTCAGGAATATCCCTCCTTCTCAGGTGACCAAGAGTGCCAGCACTGGTTCCCTTGGTTGGTGGTATGGAGGATGGTTGGAGATGAATCCTATTCAGTTAGTAAACATTGATTGAATACCTACTGTGTGTCTAATACTAAACTTAGTGATAGATACAATAAGGAAACATGATAAACTAAGTCTGTCTTCCTGGATCCCAGAGTTTAAGACAAGTTTGTGCCATGGACCTGTTTGGTGATCTGGTGAAGGCTATGGACCTTTTCTTTTCTTTAAAAAAAATTTTTTAATGTTTGTTTATTTTTGAGGAGTGCAAGCAGAAGAGCCTTGAAAGTGAGACACAGAATCTGAAGCAGGCTCCAGCCTCCCAATCAGCACATCAAACTCACGAACCACGAGATCATGACCTGAGCTGAAGTCGAATGCCCAACTGACTGAGCCACCCAGGTGCCCCAGGCCTTTTCTAAAGCAAAACAAAAGAAAACAAAACAGCATCTTTTAGATGCATAAAATTAGATACCTAGAGTTACAAAAGAAACTGATTATATTGAACTGTAGTTATTAAAATATGGAAAAGGCAAATATGTGCTATGGTAATATATGTGCTCCTCACTAATCCCTTAAATCATAAGATCTAGTGGAGGGTCTCATGAGAATCATGATTTTATTTTTTTAATGTTTGTTTGTTTGTTTGTTTATTGAGAGAGACAGAGAGAGAGAGAGAGGGAGGGAGAGGGAGAGAATCCCAACCAGGCTCCACAGTCAGTGCCAAGCCCAGTGCGGGGCTCAGTTTCACATAGCATGAGATCATGACCTAAGCTGAAATCAAGAGTCGGAGGCTTAACCCACTGAGCCACTCAGGGGCCCCTATCATAAATTTAGATTAGAGATGAGATTACATATTTCAAGAGATCTGCAACATCTGTACTGTGATATGAAAAGCTCTGTGATTTCTCTTGGTGACAGAATCACAGGTACTACTACTATTTTGCATTCTCTACTGAAAAAAATTCTAAATTTCAATTAGAGTGAAAATAAAGATGTATAATTTTTCTCATCCGAATTCATGGGCCCCTCCAAACC